TTGAAAATCCATAGAAACGCCATATTGGGTCCACATAGGTGCCACGGTTGTCCTATTTGACCTGCTACCAAAAACAGTGCAACCAAATTCAGTATAACACGCTCCCTTCTCTCTGTGATTCAATCGCCTCTGCAGCTGAATGCTTAAATCGACTCCTACGGCAACCTGTTTCATGGTCTATCCTGATGTGCGTCCCAAATCTGAATCGTGTAAAGGATGCAGCCCATGCTGGCCAGTTCCTCTGGCGACGACAAAAAGGAGGTAATCAGCAGTAAACTGGGACGGTTTTAGCTTTCACCAACCAACCCACCCTACTTTCAGTCATGACTGTAAATGCAGCAAGCTCCGAAAAACACTGAAGCTCTATTTAGTGATTGCACTATGTGAAATCTTGATTAATCAAGCAGATTTTGGAGTTTAGGAGTAAAACATGGCATAATGACATCTTAAATGTTCACTTTGGGCCATTAAAAACGGTTTGTCTCGTCTGTTCTTGTTCCACAGAATGTTCTACAGTAAAATTTGGCTTACATCCAGGGTAAGTAGATGTTTGAGACATGGGAAATCTGTAACACAGCTGTGAGATAAGGAACTGAAGCTATTTGGATCCTAATATCCAAAACGACAGCACGAAACATACTTTCAGTGGTGAGCCAACCTCTGCAAACAATAAAAAAGGACCAGCTAAAATTAAAAATCAATGTCCCCACAATATCTACAATGAGAAAAATAAGTATTTGAACACCCTGCTATTTTACAAGTTCTCCCACTTAGAAACCATGGAGGGGTCTGAAATTGTCATCGTATGTAAATTTTACACTGTGAGAGCTTTTTATTTAAAATAAAAAAATCCATAAATCACAGTGTTCATCTTTTCTACAATTCTGCAGAATGTGTTGGTTTAATCTCTAAGTTTATGCTCTCTCTGCATTTTCTCATAGTAGCTTCATTCGGTCTGTTCCTGTTTGGCTGTGACTCCATCCTGGAGAGAAATATCAGCTGTGCTGCTGC